ACCATAGGTGTTGCTATTTCGATAAATAAACAATTCGAGGATATCGCATTTGAGGAACATCCGACTACAAAATCTACATGTTTTGTGATCACTTATTTGAAGAAAACGGATCATTAAATGGCTTACTTAGTTTCAAAAAATATTCATTAATATACTCAATGGTTATTTACATTCGACTCATTGTTACAAACTACCTAGGGTTTTAGCATCATTCATAAAAATGCTATTTACGCTGTTTACTTCGACTGGTTGCCAGAGGTACAAAAGTGGGACCCAGAGAGTGTACTGAAATATAATTCCGCAGCTGTACATATGTACATATATACATATATACGTATATACATAAATACATTTATCTATCTATTTATTTCTCTCTATATATATACATATATACATATATAAGTATATATATGTGTACATATACATATATAACAAAATGTATACATACATATATAAATATAAATATATATGTATATATATATGTGTGTGTGTGTGTGTGTGTGTGTGTGTGTGTGTGTGTGTGTGTGTGTGTATGTATATATTGTGATGATATTACTCAGATACCATTTAGGTGTTTTTCAGAACAGTTCACCTTATCATATCCTCTAGATAACCACATACCACGTGCAAACTGTAGTTGTCCACGTACGGAGGTCGCGGGCGCAGAGCAGGTGGATGAAAGGGACTTATTGGGGAGGCGAAGGTGTGACCCCACGAGAGAGTCGTGCCCCAACCGTCGCCTGCCGTGTCTCCGTCTGCTCTCCTCCCCTGTCTGACGAACGTGTCCTTTTATGCTGGCTCCGGGAGATGTTTAAGTCAGCCTAGACAAAGGGCTTGCTCGAGGGGGAGATGCAGGTCACCTTAGGTCAACCGGACTCGGGTTTGGCAGGTGCGAATCGGCTGCTTCCTCTGGCGATGTAAACACGAGAGGACTGCGACAGGAAGGTGCAGCTTCCGTTTCGACCACGGACGGGTGTGTGGAACGATGTTGCTCACAGTAGTTTAATATACGCATCTTTATTTCTTTGGGTAATGTAGGAAGAAAAATCGTGAAGCAAATCAACTTTTATTTCTCACTAAACCACCCAATGGTTGTTTACATTTTTTTTTCACATAATGTAACAAACAATCATTCTAACGTTGCGAATCATAAACAATGCTCACTTTTTTCTCGTCGTTAGCAATGAGATATATCTGTGTGTTCTTTGGTAACTGAAATTCATCGTGGATTGCAAACACTATTTCATAGTCTTCACGGACGTTGAAAAACTACTCGGTAGAAACAACTCACTTCCTCCCTCTCTCTCTCTCTCTCTCTCTCTCTCTCTCTCTCTCTTCTCTCTCTCTCTCTCTCTCTCTCTTCTCTCTCTCTCTCTCTCTCTCTCTTCACTCACTCACTCACTCACTCTCTCTCACTCTCTCTCACTCTCTCTCTCTCTCTCTTCTCTCTCTCTCTCTCTCTCTCTCTCTCTCTCTCTCTCTCTCTCTCTCTCTCTCTCTCTCTCTCTCTCTCTATCTATCTCTCCTCTCTCTCTCACCCTCACTCGCAACACACACACACACACACACACACACACACACACACACACACACACACACACACACACACACACACACACACACACACACACACACACACACAAACACACACACACACACACACAAACACACACACACACACACACACACACACACACACACACACACACACACACACACACACACACACACACACACACACACACATACACACACAACACACATACATACATTCTCACACACACACTCTCACACACACACGCACACACACACACACCTACACACACACACGCCTACACACACACATACACAGCACACACACACACACACACAAATGTGTGTGTATGTGTGTGTCTTACTGTCTAAGAAGTTACAGGAGAGTTAGTAGTTCCAAGTACCATTCCAACAGTAGAATTTGTAGCATCACTTGTCGGGGAAGAACTTGCTGGAGTAGCTGTTGATGTAGTCGCCGTTGGACTAGTAGAAGGCACTATTGTTGTCATCCCTGAGGTTGAGGCCCCTGACGTGGGAGAGCTGGTGTTGGGAGAGCTCGTGGTGTCAGTGCTTGAGCCTGTGGTGGCAATGCTGGCTGCTGTGGTGGTAGTACTGTGCACTAAGGTGGAAGTGCTAGATTTTGTGGTGGCAGTGCTAGACTCTGTGGTACCAGTGCTGTGTGCTGTGGAGACAGTGCTGGGCGCTGAGGTGGCAGTGCTTGATTTTGTGACGTTAGTGCTGGATGCCGTGGTGATATTTGAGGTTGCGGTGGTGATAGGACTGGTCGTGGTGGTGCTAAGATGTGCCTCGCAGTCCGCCAGCTCTTGGCTCAAGCGGCCGATGGTCTGTTCGTCTCGGTGGACTGAGGGCAAGAGACGCATTACAAATCCTGTTTACATGATGCATTTGCAGGGACTGTGAACCTCAGTGATGCTAATGATCACTATAATGATGAAAACGCCAATAGTGATAATATTGATGTGTTACGTGCGCATGTGATAACAGTATTAAGAAGTATTATCATTATCATTATTTCTATTACTATCATTACTATTTTCATCATTATTATTTTCATTATCGCTGTTACTACTACTACTATTATCATCATCATTACTATCATTATTATCGTTATCATTATCACTATCATATCATCAGTATTATCATTCTATCATGATCATCATATTACCATAGTAATTATCATTACATTATTATCATTATCATTATCGCCATTTCCGGTATCATTATTAATATCATCATTATCAATAACAAGTAAAACTGCAGTAATACTCATAACGATAATTACTAAAATAATCATTATAGCTCTAATGATGATATAGGTCATAATAAGAAATGCACTAATAAGGATGGTGGTGATCATGATAATGATGATAATAATAATAATAATGATAATAATAATAATAATAATAATGATAACAATAATAATAATAATAATAATAATAATAATAATAATAATAATAATAATAGTAACAACAACAACAAAAATAATAACAGTAATAATGATATTAATAATATTGATAATAATAATGATAATAATAATAATAATAATAATATTAAATAGTAATAATGATAATAATAATAATGATAATGATAATAATAATAATAATAATAATAATAATAATAATAATAATAATAATAATAATGATAATAATAATATTAATGATAATGATAATAATAATAATAATAATAATAATAATAATAATAATAATAATAATAATAATAATAATAAAAACAACAACGATAATATCAATAGTAATAATAGTAATAATAATAATAATAATAATAATAATGATGACAATGATAATAGTGATGAAAATAATAACAATGATAAGGATAATGATAATAACAGTAATATCAATAATAATAATATTAATATTAATATTAATAATATTAATAATAATATTAATAATAATATTAATATTAATAATAATATTAATATTAATAATAATATTAATAATATTATTAATATTAATACTAATAATAGTATTAATATTAATAATAATATTAATAATAATAATAATAATAATAATAATAACCATTATAATATTGATGCCAAAACAACGATAGTGAAAATAATAACCAATGATAATGTCAAGAATAATGCTAGTTACCAATACTAGAAATGATATTAATGATGACTTTAATGTATTACGATATTGTCGTTACTACTTTTACTACTACTACTACTACCATCGCTACTACTACTCCAACTGTTACAACTACTACTACCATTATAACTAACTACTACTATCATTACAACCCTTTTCTAATGCCTCCACTCGCCCGCAACCCGCCCTTACAGAATAATTGTACCACCATGTATTGCTCGACCTGTGGCATGCACATCACATTAAACTCCGCGCAGCATGCACTCATCGAGCCTTGTGATGCGCCTTTCAGCCAAGGTCTGTATTATATAGACCAGAGGTTCCCAGTTCCATGGTCGCGACTCGAATGAGGGTCGCCAGAGGGTCTTGCAAGAAGAATAAAAAATCCATAGCTGGATATGTCAGTAAAGGTTAATTTTTTTATCAACACTTTATTGAAATTCAGTGTGTTGGTAATACAAACATAAAAACGTAGACTAATGCAAACATAAAAGCGTAGACTAACGTAAGCTAATGTACAGCTGCAAGTATAACTACCATGAAAATGGTTGGATATATTACATGTTCACACATTTAGCGTCGCCAGCCCAGGCTAAGACTATCTTTAGGGTCGCACCCGTAAAACTTTGGGAAACTGGTATAGACCAAGGTCTATATAAGTACTTATATAAACCCTGTATAGACTTGCTTCGTTGGGTTTGCTGGACATTTGATATACGTCAGCCTTTCGTCGTCCAGTGGCAAAAGAGCTGGATCTGTAATAAGGTCATGGCAAAAAATCCTGAGCCGTTCATGATGACAAATACAGACAGAGCTTTCCTTTTTTAACTTTAATTAAGGACTGGCTTGATACAGTTTCCACTGCCCGGCCGTGCCAGAGGGCTATGGCATCCGTGAAGTCCTCTGGTTTGACTGGTATGGATAACATTCCAGTGCCCTTACTTCTTGTTTATTATCTCTCTGTCACAAGGCGTGAGACAGACGAGAAAGGTGCTTTTGAAAGCGTAAACTCGATTCCCGTTGATCATACAATTCAGATTCATTATGTGCAGAGCTGATGTTAGATAATTTTGATATTCTCTCTGTGCTGGCTCTCCAGGGATTGTGATGGGCGCCCCTCATGGGCATGTAAGTCCAGTGTGTCTCTCATGGGCGTTACACTTTCCATCTTTCGAGACAGCTCGGATGACCACCTCCCGCATGGCAACCCCAGCAGTTGACAGCCCGGCCAGTCCTCATCAAAACCATCAGTGCTTGAGATTGCATAGGTCGGAGTTATCCCAGTCTTTAACCGTTAAATATATTTTGCACTCATCTTTGAATCTTAGGACGCCTTTAATA